ATGGTACAGGATTAGGGCCTTCCTTGGGAGGGGCCTGGTCCCGTACCATCATTGTCTATACTACTCAGTGACACTGAGCGGCTGTGCGCAGGTTACTTTATAGTGCATAGGCAGATCCATACTCTGTCTGTGTGTGTGCGTGCGTGCGTGTGTGTGCAAGGGTGCTGTAATCGTCATGTGTATACTGATTCATCATGGTTTTGCAAGAGGGAGTATCTGTGGGAAAGTTTGTATGTATGCAGACAGTATATTACTAATGGCAGGATCAGGATATATACATTGGGACTAAAGCAAATAGAGTTGTTTACTACGCAAAAAAGGAATAGGTGACAAACTTTATGTATGTATGTGTGTGTGAGAGAGAGAGAGAGAGAGAGAGAGAGAGAGAGAGAGAGAGAGAGAGAGAGAGAGAGAGAGAGAGAGAGAGAGAGAGAGAGAGAGAGAGAGAGAGTGGTGGTGGGGGGGCTGGCTGGTTATCTACACACGCGCGCACACACGCGCACACACACACTAACATCATGACAGGACTTGTGGTTTTGGCGTGTCTAAAAGATTACTTTCTTAGTCTTCTAGTCTTTATGGACACTATCTGTATTCCCTCAGCTGTTGGCTACTGTACACAGATTTAGTAATCACTTAAAATAGCAAATATCCTTCGATTAAAATAGGGTAGATCTAAATTTACCGTGAATGTATTGGTGACTTACGTAATTCGCACATGACTCTGTAACCAACAAAAGACGATATCATACTCGCACGAGCAAGATCATTATATAATTATATCATTGCAATCAATAGTTGATATCTATTTGATAAGTTCTTAATAGCCTGGGCCGTTTCACACAGCTATCGCATCGCTACGACTGTCGTACCTCCTATACTGTAACACAGACTTACGATAGTCATAGCGCTGCGACTGTCGTACCTCCTATACTGTAACACAGACTTACGACTGTCGTACCTCCTATACTGTAACACAGACTTACGACTGTCGTACCTCCTATACTGTAACACAGACTTACGACAGTCGTAGCGCTACGACTGCCGTACCTCCTATACTGTAACTCAGACTTATGACTGTCGTACCTCCTATACTGTAACACAGACTTACGACTGTCGTACCTCCTATACTGTAACACAGACTTACGACAGTCGTAGCGCTACGACTGCCGTACCTCCTATACTGTAACTCAGACTTATGACTGTCGTACCTCTTATACTGTAACACAGACTTACGACTGTCGTACCTCCTATACTGTAACACAGACTTACGACAGTCGTAGCGCTACGACTGCCGTACCTCCTATACAGTAACACAGACTTACGACAGTCGTATCGCTACGACTGTCGTACCTCCTATACTGTAACACAGACTTACGACAGTTGTAGAGCTGCGACTGTCGTACCTCCTATACTGTAACACAGACTTACGACAGTCGTATCGCTACGACTGTCGTACCTCCTATACAGTAACACAGACTTACGACAGTCGAAGCGCTACGACTGTCATACCTCCTATACTGTAACGAAGATATCATCAGGTAATCTTGAAGATATTGTCCTGGGTGCATTGAAGTGGCACTAGCAACTGCACCACTATTTGTAAATATCACAGGTGTTTCTTTATTCATTATATTGTTGTTGGTAAATAACTTGGTTATTTCGGATTTCTTCAGATTAGTTAATGTATGGCCAACCTCTGGCACCACTAAATGCCTTTGCCAAGATCTGTTTTAGCTGCAGATTGTATTCTTATTCCAAGAGGTGGAATAAGCGATCGGCTGTTAATGTATAGTTCGTCATAGCGAGGATTTGAAACACATCAGGATTAGATTTAGTGAAACGTAATTTAGCAATATTCTGAAAAGACGACGTAGTATTAGGTACGGCTCATCAGATTCCATATGTAGCTAGGAATTGGTGATGTTCTAATGACTCCAAGGCAAAGCCTAAGGTCTTGGTGATGAACACAGTGTGCGAAATAGCCACTGGCCCGCTAACCCGTGGCTAGTAAATATCAAGTCCATAAATGATGGAGCTGTAATCAATCTTAGAACAACAGACCAGGGCTCTGTACAGCTGGTGGAGGTTTTTCTGATATTCTCCCCACTTTGAGTTTGAAACAACTTTTAATGTACCCAGAAACTCCAGGCATTTATTTTCTAGATATTTCATAAGAGAAAGGAAAAATGGTCATCGAAAATAATATCCAGAGCCTGGCTTCCTTTTACAGCTTGAATATGGGTTCTATCTAACAATTAGTTCTGGGCATGTTGTATATACTGCCTGCAAAAATGAATGCAATTGTTTTGGGGGTTTTCTTTCAATATAAATCCATTTTCTAAGCACTATTTAAAAGCTGGCACCCTACAGAAATACACAACCATGTTTGGGATTAGAGGCCTGAATAGAAGCAGTGACAGAATACGTCGGACCGGAGTGGGGGTGGGGGTGGGGGTCCGACTTCCCCATTGGCTCCGCCAACGCAAAAAAAAAAATCTTCAATGTGGTCTTAAATTCATTCTCATTTCACTTTCAAATCTATTATTGGCTAATAAACCCATTAACGACAACCATGCCTACAATTAATCAATGCAACATACACTCATGATAATAATGATCAATCGGAAGCCACAAACGCGTACCATAATAACTTTATTACGAGTAAATCGGCTAAAACCCAGGAAGACGAGAAGCCTGTGAACTGGCTGACGGAGGTTACGTCTAAAAGTGGAATCGGTCCGGCTTGGCCCGGGCGCTCAAACGCATCTTATACCTCACAGATGTATCTTGAAATGTGTTTAAATCCATAGATTGGTATTATAGCTACCTAAAATATCACTTTGTAATGTTATCAAATGCTACATGTAAAGATAACTGGTTCGTTAAAGTTAGCCCTTTTCTCTCTCCATTCACAATATAGTCTCAATCAATAGTGTTTAGTCTCTGTTCAGCCCGACTTGGCCCGGGCTCTCAAAAACACCTTCAACCTCACATATGTATCTTGAAATGTGTTTATATCCATAGATTAGTGTTATATATACCTACATATCACTTCACAGAGTCTCAAAGCGTAGTATTTGAAGCAAAAACGTTGCTGAAAGTGAAGCTCTCTTCTCTACATATTCTCAACAAAGACACAGTATCACAAGAGTTCGGTCCGGCTTGGCCCGGGCTCCCAAGCGCACCTTAAACCCCACATATGTATTCTGATTTGTGTTTAAATCCATAGATTAATATTATATCTACCTGCATATCAATTTGTAATGTTACAGAATGCCACATGTAAAGATAACTGGTTCGTTAAAGTGAAGCCCTTTTCTCTCTTCATTCACAACATAGCCTCAATCAAAAGTGTTTAGTCTCTGTTCAGCCCGGCTTGGCCCGTGTTGTCAAAAACAATTTAAACCTCACACATGTATCCTGATTTGTGCTTATATCCAAAGATTAGTATTATATCTACCTAAATATCACTTCACAGAGTCTCAAAGCAAAAACGTTGCTTAAAGTGAAGCCCTATTTTCTATACATTCTCAACAACCACACAGTATCACAGTCATGCTATCGGTCCGGCTTGGCCCGGGCTCTTAAGCGCACCTTAAACCTCACATATGTATCTTGACATGTGTTTAAATCCATAGATTAGTATTATATCTACCTAAATACATCTTTATAGAGTCTAAAAGCGAAATATTTACATGAAACACGTTGCTCTTTTCCTTCCTATCATAATTGTTTGATCTGACTTTCATTTTCTACGTTTCCTGCTTTTGCCTATTCCGACGTGGGACTTTTTGGGTTGAAATTTCGCATTTGTTAGGCCAGAAATTCATGTCGGAATAGCTACCAGGCCAGGCCACAAGGAATTGCTGACCCAAAAAGTTTATTGCTGCAAGCTCCAGGACCACAGGTTCTCACCAGAAGGAATAAGCTATATTACCAACTGCACTAAGTGTTCACATTTTGTATGTCCAACAAATTTCCTCATACATGTACTCTGATTTCTATACTGGTTCATTGCTATTATGAAACTGATACCCATCGAATGTTACCATTTGAAAAGTATGCCCGAGACCTGAGGTAAGCAACCTGCCTAGTATCAGGTAGTATTGGTGTGTTGCTTTGTTAAACCCCTTTCACGTACGAATTATTGTATTATGTATCATTAGCACTGTTTCCGTTACGTTTCTCAAAATATACTGTGGATGTTTTTGAAAGACAGAAAAGAAATTGCCCACGCTAATGAACCATATGAATTAATAGCGACAAAGCCCGTTCCACACCCATAAGAAATCGCTGAGAAAAGCAGAGTACATATATAGTAAAATGTCTGACTATATTATGAGCCTTTGTATATATATTATTATTCATGCTTGTGGTTTTGTTTGTTGTTGAACGCAACTTTCAGCAATATTCCGGCTATATCACACACACACACGCACACACTCTCTCTGTCTCTCTCTCTCTCTCTCTACACACACATATACACAGCTCGATGGGTAAAGTGATACCCAAATAGAACCGGGTTCTGGAGCTCACAGTGTTGTCTGAATGGATCTCGGTTTCACGTCACATCCGAAAGACAAAGTAACAAAATGATTTTACTGTAACAACCTAACCAGAGTACAAATGATCTTATGCAACCATCATCTGGAGGGGCACATAAATGCAATCAAACATCAGACACCAACTGGACTAACAATGAACATGTTTGTCTAAAGTAACAAGACATAATCCTGGGCAACAGTAAATGTGATATGATAAATTAAACTTTACACACTAATAGCATTGAAAATTGATCATCTATATCGTCTATATTCTATTCTAATCTATCATCATCTTAGTTGTGAATGAATTGTGACAAATAAATAATACTGTCAAACTCTTAGTTATGTAACTATATAAGCACTAAGAAAATCGTTACAAAGAATTCGGTAGTTTTAGTACCAACACGGGCTGCTAAATTACAGATGCTCATGTCCATGTTAGAAACTACTTACCCCTTGCAAAGAGAACACAACCATTCCACACCCATTCCGCCCCCTTCACGCTAGATCCAATACAGCGGTAATGAAAGCCCTCGCAACACACTGAACATTACGTGATGTTTGCGTCAAACCATGCTGGAGGACTGCAGTTACAGTGCAACTTGATATGGATAGACCTGATAACGTACTGACATGGCAACCCGTGGTTACTGGATAACAATGGGGTGTATGTGAGGATACTAGCTTACCTTGGCAATCGTCGTCGCGTGGGAAGTTTGTATTGTGCCTTTGGGAAGCGGGTGAGGTAGCCTCTCTGGAAGCACTGCTGTAGATCTTGTTGCATTTTCGGGATGTCATAAGCTACTTTAAAGTCTACAGGTAACAACCTCAATTATGATGAAAATCGATATTATGACTTTAATGTAACCGAAAAGTGTTTGCATTTTGTGAAATAAATAAAATATATCAGGTAAGTATGATCGGCGATGAAAATATGCTTAAAATAATAAAATTCGACTGGTCACAGACGGTAAGCTGGACAGAAGGCAGCATGCTGGCCAGCGTGCCAAGTCCGATAAGTTTTTTAGGTTATGGGACGAATTCCAAGTCACAAATCTTACCGTGTCCCAGCTGCTGAGAGAGGTGTCTAAGTTAAATGGACCAATGGTCACTGGGTGACTGTGATACGTGCTTCCTTCCTTCCTTCATCATTGGCGTGATAACGCTGTTATCTAACTACTACTGTGATACGTGCTTCCTTTCTTATCATCATTTGCGTGATAACGGTGTTATCTAACTACTACTGTGATACATGCTTCCTTCCTTATCATCATTGGCGTGATAACGGTGTTATCTAACTACTACTGTGATACATGCTTCCTTCCTTATCATCATTTGCGTGATAACGGTGTTATCTAACTACTACTGTGATACATGCTTCCTTCCTTATCATCATTTGCGTGAAAACGGTGTTATCTAACTAGTACTGTGATAAGTGCTTCCTTAAAAGCTTCCTTATCATCATTTGCGTGATAACGGTGTTATCTAACTACTACTGTGATACGTGCTTCCTTCCTTATCATCATTTGCGTGATAACGGTGTTATCTAACTACTTCTGTGATGCGTGCTTCCTTCCTGATCATCATTGGTGTGATAACGGTGTTATCTAACTACTACTGTGATACGTGCTTCCTTCCTTATCATTTGCATGATAACGGTGTTATCTAACTACTACTGTGATACGTGCTTCCTTCCTTATCATCATTTGCGTGATAACGGTGTTATCTAACTACTACTGTGATACGTGCTTCCTTCCTTATCATTTGCGTGATAACGGTGTTATCTAACTACTACTGTGATGCGTGTTTCCTTCCTTATCATTATTGGCGTGATAACGGTGTTATCTAACTACTACTGTGATGCGTGCTTCCTTCCTTATCATCATTGGCGTGATAACGGTGTTAGCTAACTACTACTGTGATGCGTGCTTCCTTCATTTGCGTGATAACGGTGTTATCTAACTACTACTGTGATGCGTGCTTCCTTCCTTATCATTGGCGTGATAACGGTGTTATCTAACTACTACTGTGATGCGTGCTTCCTTCCTTATCACTTGCATGATAACGGTGTTATCTAACTACTACTGTGATACGTGCTTCCTTCCTTATCATCAGCCTTATCATCGTCGCCGAACCCTACATCTCCTTATCATCATTTGCGTGATAACGGTGTTATCTAACTACTTCTGTGATGCGTGCTTCCTTCCTGATCATCATTGGCGTGATAACGGTGTTATCTAACTACTACTGTGATGCGTGCTTCCTTCCTTATCATCATTGGCGTGATAACGGTGTTATCTAACTACTACTGTGATGCGTGCTTCCTTCATTTGCGTGATAACGGCGTTATCTAACTACTACTGTGATGCGTGCTTCTTTCCTTATCATTTGCGTGATAACGGTGTTATCTAACTACTACTGTGATGCGTGCTTCCTTCCTTATCATTTGCATGATAACGGTGTTATCTAACTACTACTGTGATACGTGCTTCCTTCCTTATCCTCAGCCTTATCATCGTCGCCGAACCCTACATCTCCTTATCGTCATTTGCGTGATAACGGTGTTATCTAACTACTACTGTGATACGTGCTTCCTTAAAAGCTTCCTTATCATCATTTGCGTGATAACGGTGTTATCTAACTACTACTGTGATACGTGCTTCCTTCCTTATCATCATTTGCGTGATAACAGTGTTATCTAACTACTACTGTGATGCGTGCTTCCTTCCTTATCATCATTTGCGTGATAACGTGTTATCTAACTACTACTGTGATACGTGCTTCCTTCCTTATCATTTGCGTGATAACGGTGTTATCTAACTACTACTGTGATACGTGCTTCCTTCCTTATCATTTGCGTGATAACGGTGTTATCTAACTACTACTGTGATGCGTGCTTCCTTCCTTATCATCATTTGCGTGATAATGGTGTTATCTAACTACTACTGTGATACGTGCTTCCTTCCTTATCATCATTGGCGTGATAACAGTGTTATCTAACTACTACTGTGATGCGTGCTTCCTTCCTTATCATCATTTGCGTGATAACGGTGTTATCTAACTACTACTGTGATACGTGCTTCCTTCCTTATCATTTGCATGATAACGGTGTTATCTAACTACTACTGTGATGCGTGCTTCCTTCCTTATCATCATTTGCGTGATAATGGTGTTATCTAACTACTACTGTGATACGTGCTTCCTTCCTTATCATCATTTGCGTGATAACGGTGTTATCTAACTACTACTGTGATGCGTGCTACCTTGTCATTTGCGTGATAACGGTGTTATCTAACTACTACTGTGATGCGTGCTTCCTTCCTTATCATCATTGGCGTGATAACGGTGTTATCTAACTACTACTGTGATGCGTGCTTCCTTCCTTATCATCATTATGCGTGATAATCTCCTTATCATCATTTGGTGTTGTTATCTAACTACTACTGTGATACGTGCTTCCTTCCTTATCATCATTTGCGTGATAACGGTGTTATCTAACTACTACTGTGATGCGTGCTTCCTTCCTTATCATCATTTGCGTGATAATGGTGTTATCTAACTACTACTGTGATGCGTGCTTCCTTCCTTCCTTATCATCATTTGCGTGATAACGGTGTTATCTAACTACTACTGTGATGCGTGCTACCTTCCTTATCATTTGCGTGATAACGGTGTTATCTAACTACTACTGTGATGCGTGCTACCTTCCTTATCATTTGCGTGATAACGGTGTTAGCTAACTACTACTGTGATGCGTGCTTCCTTCCTTATCATTTGCGTGATTACGGTGTTATCTAACTACTACTGTAATACGTGCTTCCTTCCTTATCCTCAGCCTTATCATCGTCGCCGAACCCTACATCTCCTTATCATGATTTGCGTGATAACGGTGTTATCTAACTACTACTGTGATACGTTCTTCCTTCCTTATCATCATTTGCGTGATAACGGTGTTATCTAACTACTCCTGTGATACGTGCTTCCTTCCTTATCATCATTTGCGTGATAATGGTGTTATCTAACTACTACTGTGATACGTGATTCCTTAAAAGCTTCCTTATCATCATTTGCGTGATAACGGTGTTATCTAGCTACTACTGTGATACGTGCTTCCTTCCTTATCATCATTTGCGTGATAACGGTGTTATCTAACTACTACTGTGATACGTTCTTCCTTCCTTATAACGGTGTTATCTAACTACTACTGTGATACGTGTTTCCTTCCTTATCATCATTGGCGTGATAACGGTGTTATCTAACTACTACTGTGATACGTGCTTCCTTCCTTATCATCATTGGCGTGATAACGGTGTTAGCTAACTACTACTGTGATGTGTGCTTCCTTCCTTATCATTTGCGTGATAACAGTGTTATCTAACTACTACTGTGATGCGTGCTTCCTTCCTTATCATTTGCATGATAACGGTGTTATCTAACTACTACTGTGATGCGTGCTTCCTTCCTTATCATTTGCGTGATAACGGTGTTATCTAACTACTACTGTGATAAGTGCTTCCTTCCTTATCATCAGCCTTATCATCGTTGCCGAACCCTACATCTCCTAATCATCATTTGCGTGATAACGGTGTTATCTAACTACTACTGTAATACGTGCTTCCTTCCTTATCATCAGCCTTATCATCGTTGCCGAACCCTACATCTCCTAATCATCATTTGCGTGATAACGGTGTTATCTAACTACTACTGTGATACGTGCTTCCTTCCTTATCATCATTTGCGTGATAACGGTGATAACGGTGTGATATCTAACTACTATAACGTGTTATCTAACTACTACTGTGATACGTGCTTCCTTCCTTATCATCATTTGCGGAAAGAAAAGCAGTCAAAACACTGTCACTTCCTGCCCAGGACCCCCGGATGTCACACGCTAAGAGAAGTAAGCAACCTTCCCTCATAGACATATCAAGGAAAACACGTAACAACAAGACGGTGTCTTTTCTATGGGAATCTCGGTATGTAGTCATTGTTGTTGTGTGGGTTTTTTCACCATTAACTATACATTTTCAATCAAACTATGCATTTGTAAAGGCAGGAAGTGTATCGACGCAAATGTGCAGGTTTCGTTTGAATATTCTGCAATCCATTTTTAGTATTACCCGGTGTCCCAGCCCAGTCCGACTTTTCTTGGCCCGACTTTTAGGCCATCCCCAAGGGTTTGCCACTAATATGGCAATGCCCCCCACCGCTAAAGAAGAATGAAATATTTATAACATATTTACTGCTTTATTTTTTGGTCACATACAAGAAATGACTGGTGTCTGCATAATCACCCAATGTAGTCTGTCGACATAATTGAATACATTAGAGGCAATGTTTTATGAGATATCGCGTTTACATAAGTTTGTAAAGTGGTCAAAGTGTCGTGGTGACCTTGAAGATAAGGTCAAGGTCACCCAAATCAAATGGTGTCTGCGTAATCCCCCAATGTAGGCTGTCACCAAATTTGAAGATATTGGGTACAACAGTGCATGTGATATCGCGTTAAGAGTTTGAAAAGTGGTCAAAGTGTCGTGG